CCGAGAATGAGCTCACCATGCCCGAGGCTCGTCCGTTGTCGAGTGAGAGACTTGGCTTCTTGTTTCTACGCGTGTCGATTACCTTTAGGTATTTATTACCATTTTTCTTATATTCAAAAAAAATAAAATATAATGCTATTGTGACATAATGTATTTGACTTATTCAACAAAACCTTGTCATCATGTTCTACTAGAGGAGGAACCCGAGGCTCGATTTTCGTCGCGGGGAAGAGAAGCTGCGAATGGTTCGGGTGGGGCCCGCAGGGTTTTGCCCGCCGTCAATAATAAAGATGGTTGCCCGACGGGCGGTTGTGATTTCCACCGAGGCATGAGTAGAAACGAGCCTGAGCCGAGATTCGCGGAGGAAGACTACATTGTCTTCTGCTTCAGGGAGGATGGTGAAATCGACATGATAAACGAGGGCAATTACCAAAAATATAACTATGAGGATGAGATTGATGATGATGATGATCATGAGCATGTAGACATTATTGCAACTACTACTTTAAGGCCTATGATAAATAGGAAAAAGGTTAGAGATAATTTAAAAAAAAAAAAAAATTGGTGACACAAGTTGATCAAGTATACATTAATTTGATCTATTTATATATATATATATATATATATGTTACATTTTGTCATTCGTTTGTTTTTCTATTTCGCAGGGCGACGAAAAAGTGCGCGTGAAGAAGGGGATCGAAATGCAACCCAATTGTGACAAAGTAAAGGAGACAGATTCTATTGAGCAGTCAAATAGTGCAAGCAAAATGGACTCTTTTGAATCTTGTGACTCTAATCTATCAGATACTACCAGCACAAGCTCTTTTGCCTTTCCAGTGTGAGTTGATTTTTTTTTCAAACAAATAATAAAATGAAAATGAAAATTATTTGAATGTGTCATTGTGATAGTTATCTATATCTATCTATATATATATATAAAATGCTTACATATTTTGTACGCAGATTGGGGCTCGATTGGATCGGCAGCCCTGTTCACATGCCCGTGTCTGAAAAGCCCGATTGTCCGAGTCTGAGCATTCGCTGTTGTAGTTTTTAACTTGTTGCGTATTAAGTTTGCGTGTGCCTTGGAAAAACACTAGTCATTTCTTTGTTCATTTTCTTGAATTCGGTCGATTTTTCGATTTCTGTAGTTCTGTTTTTCGGCAGATTTTGATGAATACATTTAAAAAACTAAGGTCCTTATACTGACTTTCACAACATGGTCTAATACTGATCTCGTTTGGCATTTTCTCAAGCGTTTTTTGCTCTTTTTCCTCAAGCTTTCTGTACAGATTTTCAAAATTATTTGATATCTACTGTAAATTATTCAATGGCTAAAAGAACTGAAGCAGAGGAGTAGGAAAAACCTACTAAGCATAGTTTTCATGTTTTGACAATATAGACTTGGAATAAATTGCAAGTGAGCTTCTGAAATGAAAGAAGGGGAGAATGGATATATAGTTAATTTCCAAGATTTTAAAATTGAAACCATCTCACATATAGTCATACTAAGCTCATAATTAAGCCGGCACAATTCTCATTTCTATGACTAGAAATCATGAAAATTTAAAATTTCAAGTTTGATCAAGTACATCGACTTACGAAGCATGTGACATGATACTTGGCTNTCACGACCTATAACTTGAGAAATTTGTTCCGCGAGACAAAAATTAGAAAAATGGGTATCCATTCGCCTAGTTCAAGAGATATAAATGAGTTGCGTTTGAGCTCAATCTCTTATCAAGCCGAACTAAGCCGATTAATGAGCTCAAGCTCGGTTCATTATTAACAAACAAAATCCATATTTTTCGAGCTAAAACGAGCCGAGCTCTACTGTTTAGCTAGACGAACTTGAATAAATGAGTTAACCCGAATTTGAGCAGTAACGAGTTTAGCCGAACTCACAAGCGACTCGTTTAACGACTCTGCTTAGTTGTATCCAAAAAATGAACCATTATTAAAAACTTTTGCCCAAAGAAAAATAAATATTCATTTTTTTGTGTAATTTTTATTACATCCCAAATAGAGGCCATTCGTGAGTTTAGCTCGGCTTGAAAAAATGATCGTTATGCATTTTTTTATAGTTCGGCACAAGCCAAACTCGAGCTCGATTATAAACTCATGAAGTTAACGAACCGAGTTGAACTCGACTAGAGCTTATTTTCTTGAGTTCGAGCTCGTTTCGACTCGTTTACACTCTAATCCCGAAAAGCAAGAAAATAAATCCAAATAAACAGCAGCCTTAACTCATCTCTACTTGGTGACGACGACGCTTTTTCAAGAACATAACAGCCTCTCACTTCCCAGTTAATCCAATCCTCCATTACCCTCTCTCACAGCCCCTCTCTCTCAAATAAGCAGCTAAGAGAGAGAAAGTGAGCTAGAAAAAACAAAGGATATGGCTATTCGCTCACACCCCATTTCGAGGGTCGCCCCAAAAACCCTCCCTTTATCGTCGAGAAGTTTTGAGCCCACCACGAGAAACTCCATTTGCAGCAATTCTTGGATGAAAAGACAATTTTATGGCAATTCTTTATCTATCAAGTCGAATGGAGAGATTCTGAAAACCCCTTTTCGGAGTTCTGTCAAATGCTCTGTTTCGCAAGCCACAGACACCACCACAGGTAATCTGTTGTTGAGCAATATCTTGATTATTTGTCTTCTTTTCCCAAGCGTTATTTGGTTGTCACTTTTGTCAGCATGTTGAGTCTGCGTGCTTGTGTGTACTGTTGGTTTTCTTTTATCCTTTACATACTTTGTCTATGTGTGGTTTAATATCATCTATGAATTGTATGGTTTGGAATTATATATTTATTTTTCTTGTCTAGTTCTTATGGAAAAAGGTAACTTTAAGGGGGTACTCAAACTTGAACCTCTCCGTGGCAGCTTTCACATATTCTCTGTAAATTATGTGTATAGAGTTTTCAAAGGAGAGGTCATGTTGCCCGAAGTTCTTACCTTTAAACTTGCTCTATGCCTAAATATGTAATTTTCACCTGTTGTTTTGGACATGTATGCTTGAGTCCGCTTCATGTAGCCAACAGTTTTGTGCAGCTTAGTCGACAAAACGTATATATTAACCTGCTGTGCTAAAAGCATGTTCTTAGAATGAGTTATTCGTTCTTCTATATTAATGTCTTGCGTTTTATCGTGGTGAACATTTATGTCAGAGAAAAAGAGTCAATTGATAAGGAGAAATGACATTCGCAATATAGCGATTGTTGCACATGTTGATCATGGAAAAACCACTTTGGTCGATGCTATGCTGAGGCAAGCTAAGGTATGTATTGTTGGGATTCGGAATAAAGAGTTTTCCTTTAGTGATTTAAAGATGCAAATGTTCACATTATTAATGCAAACGACAGTTTTTTAACTTTCTTAACCTAAACTATGAAATCTTTTTGTAGTTTTTGCTTCTTTTTTTTTTTTTATTTTTTTTTATTTTTTTATTTATAGTCAAGGTGAAACAATCTTTTAGTCTGGATTGTTGTGCAGGTTTTTCGTGACAACCAGTTTGTACAGGAGAGGATAATGGACTCAAATGATCTAGAGCGTGAAAGGGGAATAACTATACTTAGCAAAAATACTTCTATTACATACAATGATACGAAAATCAATATCATTGATACTCCAGGCCATTCTGACTTTGGTGGTGAAGTGGAACGGATTCTGAACATGGTCGAAGGAGTTCTTTTAGTGGTACTTACTCTGATTCTTTTCAGAAAGAGTGAAAAACTTTAAAAAAAAAATCTGATTAGATTATGTTCCTAACAAACATATGTGGCTATGATTTGCAGGTAGATTCTGTTGAGGGTCCAATGCCACAAACAAGATTTGTTCTGAAGAAAGCTCTTGAATTTGGCCATGCTGTTGTTGTTGTCGTAAATAAAATTGATAGACCTTCTGCTCGTCCAGATTATGTCATCAATTCGACTTTTGAGTTGTTCATTGAACTAGATGCGTCAGATGAACAGGTGCTTTTGTTATAATCCTATTTCTCGGTGTGGATATCTATGAAAACCTACTTATATACAATGATTCACTGTCATTCTTGATACTATCTCGAGTAGATTGCTAATATATATGATTATACCATAAATGTATGAAAAGCTGTAGTCTATCATGAAAATTAAGGCATACTAAAGCCAATGCATTTTCATTTGAAGAACTCTGCTGGAATTTCAGATTGTGGGGTTTTTTATTTTAAATTTTAAACACAACTTTTTGCAAAACTGTAGAGTTTTTTACTTCTTTTTTACTTCTTGCTGCAGTGTGATTTCCAAGTTATATATGCAAGTGGCATCAAAGGAAAAGCAGGACTTTCACCTGAAAATTTGGCTGATGATCTTGGACCACTTTTTGAGTCCATTGTCAGATGCATACCTGGGCCACAGATTGCCAAAGACGGTTCTCTTCAAATGCTTGTTAGTGGTGGTTCAAATGTTTTCTGTTTTTTTCGGTAAATGAAGCATGGGATTTTTTGCCTTTGCTATATGTTATACTTAATTATTCTTAAAACTTTTGCAGGCCACAAATATAGAATATGATGAACATAAAGGGCGGATTGCTATTGGGCGTCTGCATGCGGGTGTATTGTGCAAAGGAATTGATGTGCGGGTAGGCCCAATGACGTCTTGATGCTCAAAAGATTTGGACTTTCTCATGTAACATTAACTCTTAAAATCTATATTTTATAAATAGAATATTGAAAGCTCTCAAGCATGCCAGTTCTGTTGAGATATTGTAAAATTGGTTTTCGCCTTTTCAAATTAAATTGGACTTGAACAAAAGGAAATTTTGAAAATTCTCACCATCAGCTGTAGTGCGTATATATACCCTTAACAAAAATATCGATATAACATTCGTCTTTATTTATTTCAGATTTGTTCCTCTGAAGATGAATGCAGATTTGGTAAAGTAAGTGAACTTTTTGTGTATGAGAAGTTCAACAGAGTCCCTGCAGAAATAGTAGAGGCTGGTGATATTTGTGCTGTATGCGGTATTAACGATATTCAGGTAAAGATCAAAGCATCGTATGGCTGCACCCATTGGTGACATTTTTTTTTTTTTTTTGGAAACATAATTTTACTTCTTGCTATTAATAATTACACATATTTTTAACAATAGCAAATTATATCTGTACAATCCAGATAGGAGAGACAATTGCAGACAAAGCTTCGGGAAAGCCATTACCATCCATAAAAATTGAAGAGCCTACCGTGAAAATGGCCTTCTCAATCAACACATCACCTTTTGTGGGCCGTGAGGTACTTCTGCATTCATCATGAATTGGAAGATGATGATTGCTTATAAATCTTTGAACATTATCTGCCTTTTTATTTGGTCTATGCAAAAAATGTAACTCAATTATCTTCTTGAGCCACCCATCCTACCTCAAGATTACTTTTTTGCTTTAACACTCTTTTCCATTTTATAACTTTTAAATTTTAATGCTCATTCTTACGATTTTTCACCCCAACTGTCTGTTTTCTCGTTCTTTTTTTTAAGGGTAAATATGTCACAAGTAGAAACCTGCGAGATCGGCTCTTTCGTGAGCTTGAGCGAAATTTGGCAATGAGAGTTGAAGATGGTGAAACTTCGGATACATTTGTCGTTAGTGGACGTGGTACTCTGCATATAACTATATTAATAGAAAATATGTAAGATTCTATTCCCACATTTAATAAGTTCATCTACTTCCTTTTAGCATTTCTAATGTGCATAACTTTTTCCCAGGCGTAGAGAAGGATATGAGTTCATGGTGGGGCCGCCCAAAGTCATCAACAAAACCGTGAATGACAAGTTGCTTGAACCATACGAGGTGATTGTTTATTTTTTCTCGACACATAAGTACAAATCATGGTTATCCTCATATTTTTGGGGGAAATAAATGCATTTTATTTACAGATTGCTTTGGTCGAGGTACCAGAGGAATACGTGGGGCCCGTTGTGGAACTTCTTGGTAAAAGGCGTGGGCATATGACTGATATGCAAGGAACTGGGTATCCCTCTTTGAGCTATCAGAACTACTTATTGGATTAGAAATTTCTTATTCTAACGTCTGCAAAAACAAATGTTGAATTGCTATTAGGTCCGAAAGCACGACAATAATGAAATATAAGATACCAACTCGAGGTCTTCTTGGGTTGAGAAATTCTATTCTAAGTGTGACCCGAGGCACGGCAGTTCTCAATACAATATTTGACGAATATGGGCCTTGGGCTGGCGACATTAGTACCCGGGATCAGGGTTCACTGGTAATTTTCTTTACATGAATTGAGGTTTTATTTTGCAAATTGCAACAAAACAACAAAGAGGTACTTATCTGCAATTAAGATAAAAGGGGATGTTTGTAAGTTGCTTTAGGGTGCTTTTGAAATTTTGATAGATAATTGGGTGTTTTCTCATCAGGCCAAACTTCAAAGGCACCTTTAATTCAATGGTGTCCTAAATGCAACAGACACTTCTCCTTTTATTATTCAGTGGTTAAGAGTGGCATCTTCTTCTTCTTT